CCAGTGCCCTGTTTATTGCCTGCACTACCCTGGATCACAGCGCCCTGGATGAAGGACCATGGCTGCTGCAGCCCTACTCGTCTCCCTCCCTAGAGGGGAGCAGAGACCTGCCTCCAACTTTGTCACAGTGGCATGGGGAAGGACACCCAGATGGCTCTGGGGCTTTTGGGCACCAGGATGGGATGACTTTGATGGCCATAGGGTCTGTGTGCCAGCCTCCCCAGACTGTGCCCCTAAAAAGCCCAGCACCTCTGAGGTGCCTAATGCCTGGCTGCAAACCCAGTTGCGGGTGACAGGAAGACTTTTCCTGCCTCTGCAGTGTAATGTACCACACCTTGCTCTTCTTTGTGGCTTCCTGCCCCGCTCTGTCCCTCCCAGCTTATACCTCACCTCATCTCATGTGCCCTCGCCCCTACTCAAGGCTGCCAAGACCTGCCGGGATACATCCCTCCCTTGGGACAGCAGCCTCGCTTTGCTCTTCTCTGAGGATGCCTGGGATGTCAAGTACATTCCCAAGATGAATTGGGGTGGATTTGGGGAGGTGGAGACAGTGCCACCAGGGTGATGGAGGTGCCAAGACACCATCCTGCCCCCATGTTTGGTGCATGTTGGGTGCTGGCTCCTGGGTGGGATTCAGGACAGCGAGAGCGAGCCCTGGGACAGCCAGGGAGAGCAGGGAGCTTATCCAGAGCTCACAGCTGCTCTGCCCATTGCAGCCTCGTCAGGAACCGCTCCCCACATGCAACACCAGGAGCCGCGTCCCCAGAGGGCAGGAGCACAGCAAGCCCATCCCACTGCTTGCCTCAGCAGCACTGGGCACGCAGGGCCGGCCCCTCCAAAGCATCAAGGCCACATCCCTGAGACCCCTAGCCCTACCTGTGCATGTGGGGGTATCTGCTGACCACTTCTGGGAAGCCAGGCACTGCAGCATGTTTGCTCCTCGCCGCTCGAACCCCTCCTGGCAGCCGAACACGCAGGTGGAGTTGTAGCTGAAGTCTCCATAGGGATGGCTGCAGTTCATGCGCGCTCCCTCGGGCTGGAGCTCAGTGCACTTCACAACTGGGAGAGACCCAGCACCGCGGCCGTTAGAAGCACAACGAACTTGCCTGTGTTGCTGCCGGGGCTCAGGCTCTCCAGAAGGAAGGAGGAAAGGGTGGGGATGAAGGATGGCTCACCGTCCTCGCACTCAGGGCCGTGGAAGCCGGGGTAGCACTCGCAGCGGTAGCTCCCGATGGTCTCCACGCACTCGCCGCGCTGGCTGCACGAGAAGGGCTGGCAGGAGGCTGCGCACACAGAGGATGGTCGGCGGGAGCCGCTGGCCACCCTTCCGAGGTCCCCAGCCCAACCAATTTGGGTCCCTGCCATGGTCCCCCCTGCTCACCTTGGTAGCACAGCGCCTTTTTCTTCAATTTGCAGGGCTCGTCGTTCCACTTGCCCGACTCATGCTTCCGCTTGATGTAGATCTCCACGCAGTCCTGGTTGGAGCGGCGGTTGTTGGGCTCCCCGGATGCCCAGTTCTCCGCCTCCTTTGTCAGCGCCTTCTTCGTGCCCACCCAGGTCCAGGTGCCGCCCAGCTTGCGGATCCCAATCCAGTAGTAGCGTCCATGGAAGGGCAAGGTGTTGTTGAGGTACTCGATCTCCTGCTTGTTCTGGATCGCCACCAAGTCGGTGAAGAAGGTCTGGCAGTAGTTCCTGGCCTGGTCCCAATTGTAGTCCCCTCGGTCACTGTAGTGGTACGTCCAAGCACCCACCTCCACGCGCGTCACTGTACCTGCAAGAGAGGATGAGGTCTGGGATTGACACAGAAATGATGGGAGCCAGGTCAGGAATGGAATCCTTTGGGAGATGAGGGTGGGCTAGGGCTGGCATCAGGGCCAAGAGGTGCCAGTGACCAGCTGGGTGAGGGGACAAGGCAAAGAAGAAGAGTGGGTGACATTGGGGCTCTACAGAGAGACCTGGGTGAATCAGGCCTAGCAGAAGGAGCTGAGGTGGGACAGAGGGGGATGGCACAGGGATGAGGAAAGTTGAGGAGACAAGGTGAAGGCAGAGACAGAGGGCAGCCTGGGATGGGGTGGGCAGAGCGCAGGTGGCAGAAAAGCCCCAAGTAGTGATGCCAACCCCTCCTCCAGCACAAGGGGTGAAAACCCAGCCCCACAGCCCCACTCCCCTGCCCACAAAGGTTTCCCAAAAGGGAAAAGCTAACATCAAGATGGTTCCTTAAACACAGTTCCTTCCTTGAGCGCAGCAGCAGCGTACCACTTTGTTTTTCTTGTTTTACACTTCTGCGTGAGAGTCAGCTTGGAGCAGGGCACAGCAACGAGCATGCCCTCCCCTCTAAAAGCATTTGGATCCTGAGCTGCCCATCTGAGCCAGAGATTGACTGAAGAGTCTTGTAAAACTCAGTATTGCAAAACAAGATCTTGCAAAAGTCAAGTTCACATCCTGGTCATGCCCAAGAGGCAGGGCAAAGCCAGAGATTAACTGAAACCCACACCCAGAAGCGAAGGACACTTCACTGAAACCCTGTGCCTCTTTACAGCACTTCACACCACAACTTGATGCAATCAAAGAGTTTTAGCCCCAAAAACAAGCTTCCTCCCTCCTCCCCAGAACTAGGTATCTCCACAATTGCAGAGAGTGATACTGGGATCATATCTCCATCTGTGCAGAAAGTGAGATGGGGATCAAAGTTTGCTCCAAACAACTGGCACGGGGTAACCTCGGTTTCAGGAGAATGTATCACACTGTGGTCATGCAGGCAAAGATCTGGGCATCACAGATTAGATGCAAATCTAGGCCTTCCCAGGTCTAATTATGCCTCTGGTTTGGTCAATTATTATGCATTTTTGTAAGCAAAATACCCATAATTTGTCTGGTTTTCCTTATGAAAGAGCAAATCATCCTCTTTGCTGAATAAATCTGAAGCTGAGGAAAACATACCCTTCAACAACAGCCCATCCTTTTCACCCCTTACAAGTTTGTAGCTGCAGGACAGAAGCTCAGGGCACCTCTTGGGAGCCTGCCCCATCCTCAACTCTCACCACCTGCCCCCTGGCCCCCCACTGCCCCCCCAGCACGGCTCATGGTAGCCGCCCTGCTACCTTCACACACCTCATCCCCAAACGGAGAAGGACTGAGCAAGTCCACCTGCTGCACGCCCACCCTCCGTGTGCCGTCCTGCCTCCTTCCTCTAGCTTCACCAGTAACACCTTCTCTGCAGCACAGCTGATCCCCCCTCCTTCCCCTCAGCCTTATGTTACAGGTGGGTGCTGTTTGCCTGCATTTTGACCCCTCCGCTCCCTTGACAGCCCCCAAAGCCTTCTCCTAGGGCGGTGCTCAGCACCTGCCACGCTCAGGCTGCATTGGTATATTTGTTTTCCCCTCAGAGGTGAATCTCAGCCTCCTTCTGACACTTCTGCATTTGCCTCTGTTGCTTAGCTCAATCACAAAAAGTCTTTCAGAAAGTGACACAGCTCATGCAAGATCTGTAGGGGCAGAACAGGCACCAGGAGGTTTTGCTCCATGTAGTGCCAACATGTGAAGAAAATACCCTACAGGCAGCAAAACCAAATTAGTTTCTACTCTGATTGCTTGTCCTGATGTCAATTAGCAGCTTTAACTCTGTGTGGTGCTGACCCAGCTGTGTTCCCAACACTTGCAATGGGCAGCTGTGGGTCCTGTGGCCAGCTCAGCAGCATGGGCATGGAATAGAGCTGCTGCAGCCTTTCTTCAGTTTGTGGTACAATGCAGAATGCTGCTGTGCTGCTTTTGGGGAATAAGACACCCCATGGGGACCCCACGCTTGAGTGAGCACTTTCCTGTGATGGGTCTGGCTGGAGGGAGCTGGCCCGGGCAGACACAGACCTCTCCCAGCATAGAAGAATCCAGCTCATCTCAAATCTCAATTTGTCTTTTCTAGGACAATTAACAAAATAAACAAAACAGACTAAGGGTTACTGAGAAAGGCTTCAATTTTCTGCAAGAAAAAAAATAAGCTAATTAATAGCTGCAATTCTTAAAATACTTTGGGTAACTTTTCTCCAGCCTATGCCATTCTATGCTTCTATGATTCTCTTAGGTGAAATAAACTCAATCCACCAGGTTACCACAGACAGTGCTTGTAAGATCTCTCTGATGGCAGGCAAGAGGTAGGTGGATCATCCAGTCATGGGAGCTGTGACTAATGAGCCTCCAGAACAACATTGCTGCCCTTTCCTAGTTTCCCGGACCTGCAGGGTCATGCTGCGCTTACCGAGCGGGTGGCTTACCCCATGCGATGGCAGCGATGCCCAGGTAGCAGATGCCGCGAGAGCCCAGAGCCCGTGTCCTCTCAGCAGACGGCAGTCCTGCAGCAGCGCCCTGCGTGCCAGGGAGGGAAATGTGAGCATGCACATGCCACGGGGGCTCATGCACCCACACCGCTGCCAGACAGAAGGAGCATTGCTTGTGCCAGCTCACCTGCGGGCATGTGCAGTGTCACCAGCCAGGTACTGCTCTGCTGCAGAAAGGGCCCCTCCGGCGAGGCACTTTTGGGACAGCTGTGCCTGCAGCACAGCTGGGCAGCGTGGGAGGCTGTGCCAGCGATGCAGTTGGCTCCT